TGCGTGACGTGTGTTTGCGCTTATTGTGAGTTCTTAGTGAATCGTGATAGTTGTTAACAATAAAACATTTGAAGATGTGCTGACTCATTGGTAAAGTCGGGTTTTTAAAGGTTAAAATAACATCGCCTGGTCCTAGTGCCTAGGAGGCCCTTGACTGCATCACGATCGGCATGCCTCGCCCTTGTGAGTAGAAATGCTCAACTTTAAATTTTGAATTAATATTATGCATGCCTTTAAGTCCTCCTCTTTCTTCTTCTTATCATCATCACCATTATTCTTTCACTTTTTCTTCTTGCTATTATTATTATTATTATTATTATTATAAGTATTAGTGGTAGTCGTATCGTTATACAACTGTGCCATTAGAAACTACATGTATATGTGCCATAAATTCATGTACACTGAAAAAGTTCACGACGAACTTATTAAGGTTTATACTGTTGACTTATCCTTCACTTAACACCCTTTTTGCGCCGGTTTCCATTTCGAAAAAACTCTAATCCAGTGCTGAATAAACAGCGAATTTTACTTGAGAAGCACGTTCCACTAAAAAGATGTGCTCCTTCTTAATTGATCGGGAATGCCTTTTTTTTAGTGAGCTCGTTTTCTAGGTGGCATATTCACTTCCAACAGCACCAAACCAAGCCCATTACTGTCTCTTACTTCAGCGGGTGGTCTAATTGTTTCATGCCCACATCTATTTAGTTTACTTCTGACAGTTTAAAGACGTACAGAGCTGGAATATTATTTTGCATCAATGTAACACAAAACCATCTTCATACTTAACAAGTTAGTTCGTCTTCTTCGAAATATATATTTATTACATATTTTTTTCATTTAAAATTAATTTCTCCTTTTTATTCTGTTTTTCCACAATTTTTGACAAAAAAAAAAAAAAAAAAAAAAAAAAAAAAAAAAACGGGGATGTATTCGGTCTTGAAAAACAACCGTTCTTGGCTGTCTTAATAATAAGCCCCTGGTGAGAATATATATGCCTCAAAACTCAACCCATAAAAACTCCGCCTAGCCAAAGTTCTTATTACATGTCCCGGAAAAACTTGGTGTTTAATGGCAAGGCTCTTTTATACAAATAAAATCGTTTTTAGCTTATCTTTGACAGCTGAAGTAAGACACACGACTATTAAGACGACTTGACTGTTTTTATCTTCGGGCGTTTTAACGTGGTAACTAGTGTTATTTGGCTTAGAGTGAAACAGGGACTTGTTTAACAGTGCGGTAGGTGGGACGAGATGATTGTGTTAACTGGGTGAGACAGCCCACTGGAAAAAAAAAAGCGCAAGTCACGTATGAGACTCATAAAATACTTTGTAAAGAAGCAGACCGACTAAAAATGATAAAATAAATCGATAAATATATGAACAGATGTAATAAGAAGTGGTTTTCCGGACTGGGAATATTGAAGCCAGGTCTCCTGCGTCGCAGAGCAGGGGTACTCACCACAATGGAGCCTATAATATCGTAGTAGAACTCGAGGAATACAAGCAGCGAATTGGAAAATTTTAGATAGAATAAAACATCAACTTGAAACTTTAGGAGAGTTCTTTGTAAAACGCTGCTTGTACCCTCAACACAATCGAATACTGAATAATTAGATAGATTAGCTGAATTTAAATCACACAATTACGGACAACATATGCCATATCCTGAAAGAGCCATCTGTTGAACGAGCATGAGATACTTTCAGACAGAATATTAGAAAAATCAAATTTGGATATATTTTTTAAATGGGAATGAAGGAAAAAACAGTGCCTCCCCGACGGGATAACCCCGGTCTCCCGCGTGACAGGCGGGGATACTCACCACTATACTATCGAGGACTGGTTGAAACAACATATGAATACAACTTCGTGACAGTGAAATCTTGATAATGTCACATCCACTATTTTATTTTTGTCACCTATAAACATGTGCTGGGTTATGACCGTCGATGCATAAAAATGTCAAATAAATGGATGATGATACTATATTGACAATTAAGTCCCGTGAAACAAATGAAGTAATAAATAAATATTAAAGACATTTGTTTTGTTCAACTCTCACTGGACAAAGACTTGCCTTACCTACCTGTATGCTTTATTCATAATCTGGTAAAGCTTGCAAAGAGCGCAGATAATACTTATTAACAAGTGCCTGAGAAAAGAACTCAGAACAGGGGGATTCCTTACAATACAAACTTTGTGAAGTGAATTTTAGACAAGAAAATTCTATTTTGACATGACTGTTCAAATGAAAACTGCTCTCCACTGGGACTCTGTAGGTTGTTCTAAAATTGGATAAAAAACTGTAAGATTTAAGATGATGAGGGTGCCTGCTCTGTTGTAACAATAAAAATAAAGATTAAAAAACGACACAGTAGCAGAGGAAATTCTTGCAGTTGCATGGTTAGCGTAATCACACAACTGGGCACCAAGGCTAGGCAATAGTCCATGTTTGACTAAGACTGAGTTCCCACAGATTTAGATCGATGCATCTGGATCGACCTAACTCTCTGGGGGTTCACGCTAAATTGCTGTCAGCTTCTTGGAGCCAAGCGCGCACTAAAGTTAATTACTTACTTAAAGAATAACGCCAGACTGAAAAAATAATGCCATCATTTTTTTCAATCTACTGGTGTAATTTGAGGCGTGGAAAAATCACAGTTGGGGATTCCCCGTAAAGTCATCTTGTAAACAAGATCGAACGAAGCTACAACAGGAAGGTCTGCGGAGGTTTAAGGTAATTTTTTTCACTTTTATCATAAAATATAGCAGCGCATTTTATGGTCGATATATGAATGGTGATGTAAAGATATGAAATGCATTGTAAATTATTACGAGCTTCTCTCATTACTGTACCAAGTGGTGAAGACATCTTAAGTTCGGTCGTCTACAAAATGGCGATCTTGTTAGGTGTACGTTACTAAAGCGCACAACGGTAAATAACCTAGTTTACCTCTAAAGGTCGTTTCACAAAGTAGTCATAAAAGCATGAATTACTTTGAAAGGGGGAACTAAGGTAGCCTATAATATCATTTAATAGCACTAGATATAAGTACGCGTTAAATGCAGGTTGATGCATGTTAACTTTTTTAATCTTCAAAGTATAGATCTTTTATCATATACCCAGTAGGTCTGTTAATATTATGGAGACGCAATGTTTCGGATTGTTCCACGTCGTTCGATATATTAGATGGTATTTGGGTGGACAGGTCATGTTTTAAAATAAGACGTACATGCACGGACTGTATTCAAAACCAATAATAACAAATATAACCTTCAAAATAACGAAAACGAAAACCACGGTCTTTTATTCGGACAAATATGAAAGAAAAATATCGCCATTATTTTCTTGTTCAACCTTATATAACATTTGGAAAATTTCCAATTGAATGGGGGTTTCCCTTGACGTCATCTTGTTAAAAAGACGGATTACAGCTATGAGCGCAGGTGGGTAGAACCCTCAAAAGTTTAATTCAATTTATTAAAATTATAAGACTTCGCCTTGGATTTAATGATAGAAATGTCAAATTGCAATATTTTATAGATCGTAAGGAAAATGCACGTTATTTCAATTATGACACAGCTAGTTTAGTACACATAATGAGTAAAGGAAGTCTCTAAGTTCGATCCTCTACAAAATGGCGATCTATGCCCCATGACGTCAATAACCCTAGTTTTCCCTATAAGGTCAATGCACACAATAGTCATTCAATGAATAAATCATTTTTATGGTGCAATTGGGAGCTACAGTACTCTGTTATTTCATCTTACCCTACATGTTAATTGCATGGTGAAACTACAGGGTGATGCATGTTTTAGCTGTTTTTGAATCTTTAAAAGAAAAGTGCATAAACATATACCCAATTTAATGGAGATGCAATTTTGTATTTTCCCACTTTCAATTTAACATCGGTTCCCGAAGGGGAATCGTTACAGTAACGACGGATTACGAAAATTCAGTACTAAGGTATACAAGGAGGAGACTACGGTCGCATTCCCATAGATTTTTAGATCGATCTATCCCCGTGGGGAGTCTCACTAGATTACTGTCAGATAATCCGGCTTAAATGTCCGTCCCGCCTACTACAAGCTGTAAGGGGGTACCCGCTCGGCTGACAGCTATTTAGCGTGAGCCCCCAGGGAGTTAGGTCGATCTAGTTGGATCGATCTAATCTCTTGGAATGGGGTCTAATGTAAAAACCACACACTATACACCATGCACGTGACGTTGTCAGATGATATTTGGGTGGACGAACAATGTTTAAAAAAAATAGAATTATAGGCTACGGATTGTATTCAAATCCAACAATAACAAAAACTCACCTTAGAAATAACGACTAGGAGCAGTTGTATTTTAGCCAAACAAAAAAGAAAGAATAATAGCGCCACAGCGTTTTTCCTTTTCGATCATATTTAAGCTCAGGAAAATTACCTGTTACATGGGGACTGCCTTTGACGATATGTAGTAAAAAAGACAAAACTGAAGTAGAAGTGCGTTGAGTCGATCAAATAATCAATTATTTAACCTTATTCAAATATATATGGTTATTTTAAAGTAGAGATTTAAAGCGTACATAATGAATTCGTATATATTTATTACAAGAAATCTAATTCAATTTATTTGACAGAATATTGTATGGTATCTAACGTGTACGTAACTCCAATTAGGCTAAAGAAACCTTATCTCTGGTGAATAGTCCCTGGTCTTCCCAATGGCTGCGTCTGGCCCTGAAACAAAACCTTGGATGGAAACTATCCATGTGGCTGCAGAGTTTGGAGATATCGACACAGTGCGTCGACTGCTAGAGAGTAATATATGCGGCGTAGACGAGAGAGGGGGCATAACTCGTTATGTAAGTATGACCAACACTGAACATGAAAACAGTATTGAGAAGTCGCCACCCACAAATTAAAATAATAGTTTCACAGTAAAATGCCACATATATCTTAAAATGTTTTAACGGGTGAATACTAACGGTTATTATATGTACTTAAACTTCACAATATTATTAATAACTTAATGATCAACAGATCAACAGGTTTTATACATACGTAGGCCAGAGATATATGATGTTATCCATATAAAAACATGTGTATGAAGATGTTGAGTCAATGAAAAAGTAACATCAGCAGAAAACTCAAATATCAATGCTTTTCTGACATCAGGCTACAGAAGTGAAATTTGAATTTTGTGGAACTCTGTGAGGTTTAGTCAAAACAAAACAGTGTGCATAGAATATATATATAAATAATTAAAAAGTATGTGTATCAATCAACAATCAACTGTCTTGTTGTACAAGTTTTAATATGCGAAGGCATGTAAGATTTCGCGGAACGTGACTTTTGCAGACAACGTGTTTCTGTCGAAGCTCAACCACTCTCTACAGCAGCGTCGCTTTTCCTCTGCAGTTTGACTCTATTTTCAGTGCGTTTACCCAAAACTCAAAAAACTGTTTAAAATGGCGAGTGCCATCTTTAACATGAAATTGCAACAGCCGATGAGGTTGCTCCCGGAAGTGGGCAGGCTTCGCTAAAATGTCGCACTATCCGAGGTATTTTCGCGCATATCCTACACCCCATTTCCATAGATTAGATCGACCTACTTTAGATCGACCTAACTCCCTGAGGGTTCACGCTAAATAGCTGTCAGCCGGGCGGACACGAAAGTTAATTATCCCCTTACAGCTTGTAGTAGGCGGGACGGACATTTAAGTCGGATTATCTGAAAGTAATCTAGTGAGACTCCCCGCAGGGATAGATCGATCTAAAATCTATGGGAATAGAGCCCTAAAGAGGTCTTGGTGCCCTATTATACTGTCCCATACTTTCTCAAATGTGCGCAATGGCGAACATCATCTTGTTTGCCTTTAGTTGTTGGTAGTCGAACATATATCAATATTTTTCAACTAAACCATTTAGCACATTTTTAATGTAACACCGTAAACATTATTTAACTTCAGGGGCGTCGGACACCTCTTCATTGCGCTGCTCAGGGTGGTCACTGCGGCGTAGCAGCTCTCCTCATTCAGCTAGGAGCTGATCCTTGCAGTACAACCTGTGTAAGTATACATTTGTAACCATGGTACTTGGAATATACATGTGCCTCCTCGTCCTTCAGTAACTTGTGGTTTATATTATGCAGCAACTTAATAACTTAACGTAATGGTTTCATTGAAACGTGTAAATAGCGGCAGTTGGTTGTGATAAAAAATACATGAACTTTTAAATAATTTTGATTTAAGGTGTACTTTTTTTATAGTGGTTCCTTTAAATGGTGTAGTACATCTGCCTGTATGGTATGTAGCTTCAATGTAAAAATTATCCACCTTCAGTATGGGCGTACACCGCTTCATTTTGCTGCTGAGGGTGGTCACTGCGATGTAGCAGCACTACTCATTCAGCATAGAGCTGATCCCTGCAGTAAGGATATGGTAGGTATATGTGTGCTACTTGAAATATACCACACCTTTCATAGTTTGCCTGTGTCACACATACAGTAATCAAATATTTTATATTTGTATATACAGGGTTACCACTTAATATGGAATATTATATTTTGGCGAGTAAATTTTCTACAAAAATATTTAATTTCTCTCTAACTATTTTAAATTCAAAGCTGAGGTGTCACTCCATGTGTAGCCAGGTGTGTTACCTAATTACCACAAAACTCTCGAAACAACTGATGCATGCAGTTGCATGTTCTGTGGTCAGAAATGTGAGGGGTGGTGTTTTCAGCAATTTCTGCCCGTGTATAAAAACGCATGGGTTTGGCCAATCTTTGGAGTGTATTTAGAAAAGCAACAAAGGGATCGCTCTGAAACTTGACAGGTACCTTAGAGAAGATATGGTTCGACAGCTATGCAACGCAGCCTGCTGTGGGATTCTTGCTTTCAGAGAAAATGGCCAGAAACGGACAGCCATTGCCAGGCAATGCAATATTTATCAGGAACCGTTAGTAAAGTCCTCCAAAGAAATGCTACAACAGGGGCACCTACTCCAATACCTCGACCAGGGTGCCCGCGTATCACACCAAGAATACAGGATCGCCTTCTCCTTAGAGTGCGCCGTGATAGTCGTACAAAGACAACCAGTGTCCTCAGAAAAGAGTGGCAGAATGTCATTCAAATGCCCATTTCAAGGTCAATCGTGAACAAGAGATTACTGCAAGCCGGTTATTTCACACGAACACCAGTACTGAAACCACTGTTAACAGCAGATCATATACAGCGACGTCTGCAATGGGCTGGGGACCACGTGCGTTTGCAGCCAAACCACTGGAATCACGTTGTTTTCGGTGATGAGGCTAGAAATGGATTTTTTAGGGTTGTTGGTCGAATCCGTGTCCACCGACGTGTACGAGAGGCATAACACAATGATTGTGTACCGCCTAGGGTGCAAGCAGGGGGTGGTAACGTCTCTGTTTGGAGAGCATTTCATGTCAGTGCCCAGAACCAGTTGGTTTTTCTAGGAGGCAGCCTCATCCAGGATTCCTACAGAGACATTCTACAGCTAACAATGCTTCGATTGGTAAGAGTCATCTTCAGGAACAAATTTGTGTACCAAGACGACTGCGCAACCCCACATCGAGCCCACAGAATCACTGTTTTTCTTCAAAACCAATGGGTTCAGCAACTGCCCTGGCCTGCAAACTTGCCAGATATGAACCCAATTAAAACACTTTGGGCAAAAGTAACTCACAGAATTAATAGCTATGGTCATCGGCCAGTAAATAGCAATGAACTGCAACAGGCAAATATCACTGCGTGGAATGATATCCCCATCCAAACTCTAAAAAACGTGTCACAGGGTATGCCATATAGGATGAGGGCGCTGCAAGCGGCTGCTGGAGGTCATACCCGCAATTACTGACTTTTCATGATTTACTGTAGTGAGTTCTTTGACTGTGTAACATATCACTGTCCGGAGGCTATAAATTTCTTCAATATCTTAGCTTAAAGTTAAAACTGACAACAAACTGTTGATATGGTTTTCTGGGGGTGTCCCTTTCTTTTGAATGGCATCTTATGTCAGATTTAATATCATCGACCAAAATATCTCACAACAGAAGACTGGATGTTTTTATCACTCAGTGACATACTTTTTTGATGAATCAAGCCAAATAAAACTTAATCAGCACTCAAAAGTAAAAATGATAAAAATATTCCATATTAAGTAGCAACCCTGTATACTTGATATATTTTATTTATAGTATATGAACTGACTGTGACATGTACTTAATCTTCATTGCGATAAAATTGTCTCAAACAGTGAATTCGAAATAGTCTAAATTCAAATAACAGTCTTTTATCCTTGTAACAAAACATGATAAGTTTCAAGATAAATAAGTTTTAGGTTGGCTGTGATAATTTCGATTACTGAAAATCGTCCTAAACCCCCAAATCCAACCAAAGAACTCATTCAAAGATAAAAAAAACTGAAATGTGCTTTCACGAGCAAAACGTTATTCAAAAAGTTCTACACATCTTTCAAATTTTCTGACGTTTATTGTTTTCATTCAATACTCTCTTTTTCGTTTGATATGGCAATCATGCACCGTGACGATGCCTATCCTTTATAGGTGAAATGAAAACAAAGTGATATTTTAGGGCTGCGAACTATGCGAGTTCATTTAGACCATGACTGACTACGAGACTAAATGATTGAAAATTGCCAATATCTCGCAGCAGAATCACACGCATTCGTCATTGAATTTACAGATAAACGTTAGTTGTGATCACTTTTTGACGATGCACTTGTATATTATATCTACGTTTTCCTAACCTGCAGATATACACAAGCACATCGCCTCTTTGAGGAGCTGTTATTTGTTGATTAAAACTCTTTTAATTGCTTCACTTTACCGTACACTCCACTTTGAAATGCATCATTTGAATGGCATAGCATATACATGTATGTGTGTGTGTGTGTGTATGTATGTACGTATGTATGGTATGCCGCTTCATTGAAAACATTGTATCTTCAGATGGGACGCACACCTCTCCATGACGCTGCTAGCTGTGATGTCGCAGATTTACTCATTCAGCAAGGAGCTGATTTCCGCAGTAAGGATATGGTAAGTGTTCTTGTATGTATGCTACTTGAAATACACCTACCCCACACTTCTTTATCTGATTTTTTTTATGTGCAGTATTATTATTCGTCTACTTGTTCTTTGGCTTTCGGCAGTAATAAACTATTTCAATTGCTATTCATTTGTGAACACTATACCGCAGTTCTGTAATATTTTCAACTTGTATAAAGCGGCAGTTGGATTTGGTCGAACAATTATCAAAAAACTGTGCCACCTGTGCCGCCTGGTTGATAATGGTCCATTGAAGAGGCATATTTTTGTACGATATGCCACTTTATTCAAAGCCTTTTGTATGTTCAGAATGGTTTTACACCTCTTCATTACGCTGCTTTGGGTGGTCACTGCGATGTGGCAGCTCTACTCATTCAGTGCGGAGCTAATTTCCGCAGTAAGGATAAGGTAAGTGTATGTGCATGATATTTGAAATACACCCACTCCTCACGATTCGATCTGATGTCTTTCTTCAGCAATAAAATAACTTGAATTCTTTTTTTTATTTTTAAACATTATATAGACATGGGTATTGTAACATTTTATTAAAACTTGTACAACAAGACAGTTGATTGTGGTAGAACATACTTTCAAATTATTTTGATATATAATCTATGCGCACTGTTTTGTGATGGTTCATTGTAACAGCATAGGGATCTTTTGTATGGTTTGTCGCCTCACTGTAAACATTGTGTATCCTCAGAGTGGTTGCATACCTCTTCATTGCGCCGCTAGCCGCGGTCACTGCGCTGTAGCAGCTCTACTCATTCAGCACGGAACTGATGTCTGCAGTAAGGATAAGGTAAGTGTGTAAGTGCATGCTGTTTGAAATACACCTACTCCTCACTACTTTATATGTTTTTTTTACATATGCAGTCTTCTTCTTTTTCTTGTTCTTTGGTTTTGGCAGTAATAAACATTTGCTTTTTCTTTGTGAACACTATACGATAGTTCTGAAATATTTATAACCTGTATAAAGCGGCATTTGGTTGTGGTCGAACAATCATAAAATTATGTTGATTAACTGTGCCCCCTGGTTGATAATGGTCCATTGTACATGTAAAAGAATAGGACATATGTTTTTAAAATATGTTACTTTATTCAAATCGTTGTGTGTCTTCAGGAAGGTTATACACCTCTTCATTACGCTGCTGAGGTTGGTCAGTGCGATGTTGCAGCTCTACTCATTCAGCATGAAGCTGATATTTGCAGTAAGCATAAGGTAGGCGTATGTGTGCTACTTGAAAAATACCTCCTCCCGATTTGATCTGTTTTGTATATGCAGTCAAAAATATTTTAAATATCTTATATCTGTTTAAAATATCTAAATATTTTAATATGTGTTTAAAACGGTCCCGTCAAACATTCTAATATTTTCAAATTATTTTGATTTACTGTGCATAGTAATTTGTAATAGTTAACTGTAAAAGCATACGTATCTGTGTGTTTGGTATGTAAACATTCAGGGGTGGATCCAGAGTTATTTTCTGACAGTCTTCCAAATTATCTTTGTTGATTCATCCTCCATTTTTGATCGTCTTCCGACAGAAGACCCAGAAGACGCCCTAAATCCGCCCCTGTTACATCGTGTTATTTCAGGGTGGCTGGACACCTCTTCATTGCGCTACTTGGGATGGCCACAGCGATGTAGCAGAGCTTCTCATTCAACGCGGAGCTGATCCCTGCAGTGAGGACAAGGTACGTATATGTGTGGTTCTTGAAATATACCATATCTTCATTAGTATGCCCGTTTTTTTGTATGCACTGATTAGATATTTAAAGTTCTTTCATTCGTGAACATTATATGGAGGTTTTTTTTTTTTTTTTTTTTAAATTTTGAAATTAAGACACAATTGAGTTTGCTGATATGCAGATTCAGATTTCTTTATTCATATAGCCGTACACTTTCACAAATAAGGTACAATCATCGGACCAATACAACTAACTACATCTTTACACAAGTAAAAAAACAACACAGTAATATAAATTATTAAATATGAAGCATTATTACATATATAAATTACGAATAACAGACGGCGACGAGTCTGTCTCTCACACACTTTGAAACATCTGCCCTGTCTGTTGAATCATACAAAGTGATGGCGTATTGAACGGATGCCAATGATGTAAACAATATGTTTTTTTTTTTAATTTTATAGACATTTTAATTATAAAATTATAAAAACTATCACAATATTTATTAAATAAATGTTTAATATTAAGAAAAGCACCAAATAATATGTGTTGTAATATATTGAGTTATTTAATTGAGCAGCAGACGAAATCTAACATCAATATGCACCCGAAACCTTAGAGTGTTTATAATAAAATTCTTTTGACTGCATTATTTAACAAAAACAATACATATCATGTTTGTCAGTTTACTGTCAGAAGACGTCTGCACAATCGCCATCATTTTAGCAGGGTTTCTCTTAGGAGAACAATGATCAAGTCAATGTTGAGACCCCTGTTTGTTTGTTTCTCATCAACATAACCCAAAAAGTTATGGATGAATTTCGATGGAATTTCCAGGGTAGGTCAGACATGGATTAACTTAGAAGTGTTTAGTTTTTGGTGGTCAATAATCAATCAACAATTAATAATCAAAAATAAAAAAACAGAAAATTATGGACCGATTATGATGAAATTTTCAGGAACTGTCAGAAGTGGGCCAAGGAACAGATGATTTTTGGTGGTTGTCCGGATCAATAATCAATCAATAATCAATAATAAAACATAAAAAACTCAATCATTATAGAATGAAATTTTAGGGGTGAAATGGCATTGGGTGGAGACTTTTGGCGGAGGTCTGCGCTCTCAGAGTGCTTTTCTAGTTTGTAATGGTTCGTTTAAATGGCATTGTAGGTATATCTGTCTGTATGGTATGTCGCTTTATTGAAAGCACGGTGTACATGTATCTTCAGGGTGGTTGGACACCTCTTCATTGCGCCGCTAGCCGCGGTCACTGCGCTGTAGCAGCTCTACTCATTCAGCACGGAGCTGATGTCTGCAGTAAGGATAAGGTAAGTGTATGTGCATGATATTTCAAATAGACCTCCTCCTCACGATTTGATCTGTTGCCTTTTTTCAGCAATGAAATATTTTGAATGCTTTTTATTTGTGTTCATTATATATGCGTGGTTACTGTAATATTTTTATTGAAACGTGTATAAAACAACAGTTGACTGTGGTCGAACATGCTTTCTAATTACTTTGATATGTACTTTGCACCCTGTTTTATATTGGTTAATGATCATAACTTATGGCATCTGTTTGTAAGGTACGTAAACATTTCAGGGTGGCTGGACACCTCTTCATTGCGCTGCTTGGGATGGTCACAGCGATGTTGCAGATCTTCTCATTCAGCACGGAGCTGATCCCTGCAGTAAGGAAGATGTAGGTATATATGTGTGGTACATTCCACACATTCTTAATAGTTTATTCACAGTCAACATATAAGTATCATCTCTACACCATCATCTTTACCTGCAGTAATGTACTGGTGTGTCATCTCTATGCGACGGTGTTGTTCGTGGAAGAAAACAGTTTCAATTGATTTAATTATCTTTGGGTACACCCCGTATAATAATGGCTCCATTCGGTGGCACAATATACCTATGTGTGCATGTGCGTGTGTGTGTGTGTGTGCGTGTCATGTTGCTTCAAAGAAAACATTTTATACCTTCAGAATGATCGCACACCTCTTCATCATGCCGCTAGTGGCGGTCACTGCGCTGTAGCAGCTTTACTCATTCAGCACGGAGCTGATGTCTGCAGTAAGGATAAGGTAAGTATATGTGCATGATATTTGAAATACACCTACTCCTCACGATTTGATCTGTTGTATTTTTCAGCAATGGAATATTTCAAATGCTCTTTTATTTGTGGCCATTATATATATATATATATATATATATATATATATATAAATATATATATTGTAATACTTTTATCGACACTTATAAAGCCACAACTGGTTGTGGTCGAACATACTTTTAAATTATTTTGATATACTTCACACACTGTTTTGTAATGGTTCATTGCTGCAGCATAGAGTTTTTTGTATGGTTTGTCGCCTCACTGTAAACATTATATATCCTCGGGATGGTTGCACGCCTCTTCATTCCGCTGCTAAGGCTGGGTATGAAGCAGCTCTCCTCATTCAACAAGGGGCTGATTCCTGCAGTAAAAGCAGAGTAGGTATATGTATGTCACTTTAAGTACCTTACCCCTTTCTCATGCATTCTCATATGTGAACATTATGGCCCCTATTCCAAGATGTTCCTTAAAATAGGGCTAAGGTCAACTTTTATAAAGGCTTCCTTTGATGAGGTGATCCTTGGTAAAGGAAGGCCTAACCAAACGGTATTTGACAAAAGTCAGCCTTTAAGTAAGGGACACTGACATAAAGGAGCTCCTCATTGGTTAGAATAGGCCTTTGTGACACCCTCCCCGTTAAAAATGACTCGGTAATGTTGTATAATTGGGGTCAACTGATCAACTTCAGTCATGCAACAGCGCATATGGACATTATCACTGCATGTGGATGTTTTGATCTAAGCCAAATTTAGTGAATAAAGCAAATATGGCAAGAAGAGAAAAGAATGGTTTGGAGGATGAGAAAACCAAATTCGTAGACCCTTTTCTGATATCGAAAAAGCAGCTACGGATGCAACTAGTCAACAGAGAAAAAAAAAGCCTATCCTCGACCAAATGTATTACTTCCGCCAAGGAGGTTGTTTTCTCCCCTGTTTGTTTGTCTGTCTTTTTGTAACCTCCACCAAGAAGGTAATGTTTTCATCCCTGTCTGTCTGTTTGTTTGTTTGATTGTCATCAACATAACTCCAAAGTTGCGGGCCGATTTTGATGAAATTTTCAGGGTAGGTCAGAAATGCGTTAACTTAGAAGTGGTTAGTTTTTGGTGGTGATCAAGATCAATAATCAATCAATAATCAATAATCACAAATAACTCAAAAAGTTATGCGCCGATTGTGATGAAATTTTCAGAAACTGTCACAAGTGGGCCAAGGAACAGATGATTCGGTTTTTGGTGGGGATCTGGATCAATAATCAATCAATAATCAAACATAAAAAAACTCAATCATTATAGAATGAAAATTGGGTGGAGACTGCTCTCAGAGTGCTTTTCTAGTTGAATGTAATTATTTTGAATTAAGGTAGGCATGTTGGTTTATATAGTCCTCCATGGAGCTGATTTTCACAAGAGAAATGCAGACGATGGCTGCTTAAGGAAGACTAAAAGTTACTCCAGACCAACCTTACATTTTAAGGAATCCTCAGCCGAAAATAAAGGAAATCTTTAAGCAAAGGCAGATTCTAGAAATGACCGATTTCTTTGCTAAGGATGATTGTTAAGTGATTCCTTTCAAGTTAGATAAAGAAAGGTCTTGGAATACAAATGTTGTATAAGTTCGACTTTAAGTCTCCCTTAACGCTAAAGGGAGATTCTGGAATACGGGCCTATATGCGGGTTCTATACTAACTAGCACTGATACGAGTATGAACCGATGGTGTCATGTCATTTATCTAAATATATAAAGAGAAAAAATGAACTAAGTAAGTCTCTTTTCTCGCTGTTTAATACAACCCTACAGCTGTCAAGGCCGGAGGTCTCATCAGGGGCTTAAACAGATCAAATACAAAATCTTCATTCAATTTTTTTGTTTCTTTCTTCGTTAGCTCTCTAGTCACCATGGGTAGAGATTTTTTTCCAAAATGAATTTTATATGTATATATGCAATGAAATGGTCTAAATCGCGAATTCCAAAGTCAAGTCCAGTTCCTATATCCGTAATGTGTAAATTTTCAAAATAAGGAACTATTAGGTTGGAAGGAACAGTTCTCCCAATTTCTTGCCACTAAATTTCTCATGCATACCCTCAAATTTAGTTGTCATATTTAATTTTTGTAGTATACTTAGTATATACCTCTACTATTGTTGTATATATCTCTAGTATTCTATATTTATTTGTGCCTTTGGTATGATCTATGATAAAAAATTGCAGTCTTGATGAATCAATCAAAATCGATATGTTCCAATATCTTAGCAAATATTTTGGTGTTGCAAAGTTGCCAAAAAATGGTGTACGAACGTCGGCTAATGTACATGTATGACTATGAAAAATATAAAATTAAAGGCCTATGATTGGCATTTAATTCATTTGGTATCAATTATCTCGAGCCAACATGTTATCATTAATCTCCACATCGTCCTTGGGGATTGTATAATTTCGTTTCCCGTTACATTGGTAAGAGCCATTTTATCACCGGAGCAAATTAAATCGTGTTTGATTACAATGTTTACTTTTGATTGTTTAAGGAATTGTCATTGGGTCTTGATCAATACAAAAAACCATGTGCTTTACACAATTATGGCAATAGATGAAATAATGGTATTAAACTGGCTAGATTTCATGTCTTTTTTTATTATAAACGGAACGGACATTTAATAATTTATTGTACTAATTATAGGGTGATTTGGAACGAAGTGGTGAAGTGCAGTTGCTTTTAAAGAAGTTTGAAAGTGGTTATATCCAGGTAGGTTGATGCACACCAAACAAGGTTTTAATGTAAGATACCATAACCGCCTTCCAACTAGGAAGGAAATGTTAGAGACGTACATATACGTGATAATCTCTCAGGCTTTGAACACTGATTGGCTCGGAGCATCTCTGTAACATGAACGATCTCGCAGGACTTTCTTTCCAATCTCATTTCACTTTTTTAACCTGGTTAGCCTCAGGTGACTGCAAACCCTACTCATACTATTCATACCCTGCAAAAATAGTTACTCAGATTTGACAACGGTCCTGCCATTTTTGACACAGCTGGGGTAGCAATAGCACTCGTTAATTTAGCCAAATGCTAAAGCTGACTGATATTGGCTTAATAAAAGGGCTTGATTTGACATGTTTTAGCCAAATTTTAACCATTTTGATAACAAATTGACAGAAATATGGTGATATGGCTAAGCGAAAAATATTGCTAGCGCTATCCTGGAGCATAGCCATTCTGTAAAATTATACATTTTTGTCACGTCCACGGGTGCCCAAACAACATACTAGTAGGTATGCCGAGGAATTTTGGGACACCTTTTTAAAATTTAAATTTATTCTATTGAAATAAAAGAATATGAAATTAGGTTAACGTTCTTTGTATGTATCATTAAAATTCAACACTATATGTTTTTAGCAATTCATGATAACGAAGACGCTGGAGCATGTCTCTGCCGATATGAGCCTTGGGATCAATAATAATTTCCCTGATGAAGTTCAAAGACAAGCCCAAGGGCTGAAAGATTGGAGAAATGCAAATAATTTCAAAACCATTCAAGAAATAAAAGCTGGACTTTTAGCTCAAGGACGCGAGGAGCTTTGTGGTGAGTTAACTCTGAATTTAACGTGGACGTATGAATAGTTTTGCTACTACTTTTATCTTTATTATTCCCTAAATCTTATTTAAACCTGAACGCTATTTCAGTTTTTTTTTATTTGAACACAGACTGCTTCATTTGATGTCTCGTTACACTGGCATGTTTATGGTTCTTAAAGTTAAATCATACTTTAATGACAGAATACTTCTGAAGTGTATACAGCTCGTTCAGTAATTTTCCATAGTAATTGACATATTTTACTTGTAATAGCTATTTCATTTTTGTTTTTGTTAATTGTTTGTTATTTTGTAATGTGCGTTTTCCAGACTCGATTTGTAAACGATATAAAACTTTCATTGTGTGTTTCAGAACTTGCTGCAGAACAGTATGCTACTGTCGTCATGAAGATCATAAATATGTCTACGGAACACTACCAAGGTTTTTGTGAAGGACTTTCAACAGCCCAGTTTATGCTTCAAGAGCGTCAACCAGCTGCGTTAGAAACACAAAGCCAGGAAATCGGGTATGATATTTACAATACTTTATATGAAATCTTTCTACATTTTTTTTTACCCGAGAGGAACGTGAAACGAAAAACGAAATACACTTCTCACGTTTGTCCTTAGCTAAGTAAGCCCTAATTTAATATTTCTGGCTGGTAAGTTTATAGCAGACAACAGAACATAGGCCTACAAGTACTGAAATAAAGAAACTGGTCAGCCTGGGCTCTGAAACTTGAATTAACTATTATCTTGCTATATAATTAAAACTTATTTTATTATCCTAGCATGGAGCTTGAATCCTACAAATATGATGCGTTCCTGATTCACAGCGGTGAGGATAATTCCAAAGTCGAAGAAGTTTTGGAGCAGCTCGAGTCACGTGGAATCCGTTGTTGTTATGCACCACGTGATTTCCAACTTGGAAGAAGCATATTTTCTTGCATAGATGACGCCGTGGAATCGTCCAGGTGTACTGTTGTCATGGTGTCTGAGAACTTTATGAAAAGCACGTGGTGCAAGCATGAACGAGATGTGGCCGAGGTCAAGGCAAGGGACACGGAAGGCTATTTGATGATTCCTGTGCTTTTGGACTTCGAACCCTCGGATTTGCCACGTACTTACAAAGCCAGGAAGTTCGTCCGTGCTGATTGCCAAGATTTTATTCCCAAACTGGCCAAAGCTATTGAAGGTACTGTTTTAAGGCAAACTGATGTGAATTTACTATTTTTGTAATCCATGCAATTTATTTCCGATCACTATTGATTTAAACACACTCTTTAAACTACTAGAAGAATCACAATCAATTCACACACTCTTATAACGTTAATATAAGTTTTCATACTTACGTTCAAAGACATTATTTTGAAGCAGGCTGATAAAAATCATTGGTTCAAACCACAAGTTGTCAACAACTACGGTATTGTAAAACTTTACGGTAAGTAATTGAAATCTCTGATAATTGCCCTAAAATATGTTAGATGCTCGATAGGTTACAAAATTGCTCATTATTGTGATAAAATTATAACGTCTACATGTTTTGAATTGCAAGGTCCGACAGCTGCTCCATGCTATGGCCAACTCCGCAGAGAAAATGAAGCATTGAAACAAGAGATGGAAGGGATGAGTCAGCAACTTGAAGATTCAAACTCAACGATTAGGCAACTGCGGGCAAATTTGGAGTCGTTTACACTGTATTATTAGCAGCAACATAGATATTATATTATATTCTCAAATGCTTCACTGAAAGGAAATGTTGGTTATTGTGTGACCTTTTTAATATTGACGCCTTTAATTGTAAATGTACAATTAAACCCCATTCTCACTCGGCGTCTCATTTTTTCTTAGTGGTACATGTATATGTTACGTATACGTACGATGGGCGTAGTGAGTAAGGAGACACTGATCTTATACTTATTAATATTCTCTAACCACAGGGTGCGCTGGTAGTCCTTAACAAAAATATTGAAAGCGACCCTGTGGTATTTGGAGCAATTTAGAAGAACACGTTCCTCGACAGACATACTCTTTATATTTAGCCGGGTGGGGGGTGATTTCACCTTGGTTCTGAGTATCGCACATGCCAGCCTATGGTATGTAATGCAAGTAAAGCATCTAAAGCATTGACATGCTCCAGATTCCCGCTGAATGATTACACAGAACACAGCTATTACCTCCCCCCCCTCTTAGTTGCAGAGGGCGGGTGGGGGATGGGGCAGTCACATTATCCCAGACTGTTTAAGTGTAATCATTCAGCGGGAATCTGGAGCATGTCACAGAATCCCACAGCGTGATGTTCTATAGTATTTTAGGGGGCCCTTATATCAGAGGGAAACGTTATCGTATGCATGTATGTATGCATGTATGTATGTACTGGGGTAACAGTAGTATATGTAAATGTACAAACTGTATGTATGTGTGTAATTAGAAATGTGTCTTAACCACCATTGGGTCAAATATTTTGCCATCACTTGTATTTTACTTACGCAAATAGTCTCTCTCTCTATGCCTCTATCTCTTTTTAACAACCATCAAATATCCGTTATAGCATAATACGAGTATATTATTCATCATTGTAACAACTTAATTTTAAATATGGGTGGCGTGAATTTTAGTGACAGATATTCATGATTAAGTAAAGCAAAACAAAACAAACAAACAAAAAAAAAAAAACGCAGTGAAGAGATAAACTGTGCGAAATAAGCTTACATGTTCCCGGCTAATATAAAAAAACATCATTTCATTTCATTTGTAAGAAAAGGACAACCAAATTACTTTTATATGTGCAGAAAAAGATGCGTGGTAATTCTGAAGTTACGTACCGGTGTGACAGGAATGGAAGTCCGCTAGGAACCATAGTCCGTCCCCCATTACTTTGAACAGGTGACATTCGTCTCAAATACTAACCCCAATAATACTACGACTAACGCTAACCTGAAGTTATCATATGGGACCTCGGACTTCCTTGCCTATAGGATTGCCATTCCTGTCACACCGGTGTTAGATACATGTACAGTCTTCCAGTAGCACAATTTTGATTTCTTTTCTAAATCTAAACTGTAATTTTGTATATTTAGAAGAATTTCCGTTCTGTATATTTCATATAATATTTTTTTCTATTTTAGTTAAAATCTACCTGTTTGTGAGATGAAATTTGTTGAATTTCTGAGAATTTTTCAAGTAGTACCGACAACAAACTTTACTAGACGTAATCCGTCCTATTTCATTTTGTGATTAACTTTTGGTAATCAGTTTTTGATTCTTTTGATTTTGTAAAATTTTGATTGATTTGGAAATAAAATAAAATTGCTTTGCAAATCATGTGGCTGTTTATTTTATTAGTTTTTTTCATGTTGTTTTTGTCACCAAAATACTAACAGATTGAATACGTGGCATACACCACAAGCAATCCAAGAGTTCCGATGTGACGTGACATGAGTCATGAGTCCCCCATGACAGAAAGTCCACTTCCCATTCATTTGTACAGGTAAGCCTCGCCCTAGGATTTGACCCACTTAGGTCAGGCTAACCCTAACCATTATGACTAAATGGAGGGCGAATTTTCTGTTTCACGGACTCTTAAGTTTCTTTACACCGGTCGTATGTAGTAATAAAGTTCGATGCATACGCCAGAGCTTAAGCGACCTTGTCAGGTAGTCGCTAAATGAGCACAGGAACAAAACATATATTATGCCACGATATGGGAACCAGACAAATCTGCAGTTTTTACCCCCCAAATTCTACAAAATATCAATTTGTCTAATAAATAGGCCGACCTTTTTTTTTTTTTTTTTTTAATAATGTGTGATTATATTTTTTATAATTGAAGATCCCAATTACAATCAAGAAGTCTTTTGGTTGAGCGCTTTCTAGATTTTTATCGAAACTTTTTACGAAGCAATTTTTACGAAGCTATAACTCGTTTTCTGTAGATTAGTGCCATTGCCTCGCTTTCAAAAAATTTGAAAATTTGATCATTTCGCGGCAGTGAAAGTTTAATACGTTACGTTGGTTAATTTCGCCGACCTGATGGGTTTTCTGATATGAAGTACCTTAATGAAATTAACTTTCCTACTTTTTCGAATGCATTTTGCAATATCATTCACACGGCCAAGCACTGTCCTTATAAAGAGTGGGGGGAGGGGTGGAAAATTCCCTTGGGGCCACATATAACACTATAAATACAAAAAGAATCGCTTTACTATAAAGGCAAAATAAATGTTATTCTAAGGAAAGTCCGATGGCTTTTCTTTTATAAGTTGTAATAAATTTTAATATAATGTACATCTTGACCAATATTTGCAGCAGACGTCACACATGTAGGCCTATTGGATCTCTTAATTGCAGCATTGGATCCATTGCTGTTTTGTAGTTTTTTATACTTTTTATATGTTGATATCTTCCTCGAAATTTTCTTGGCACACGCGATGTCAGTTGTCTTTAATTTCTTACAGGTAAAGTCCTCCGCGGAAGTTTGTGTTCTCTGAGTGCTTTTCAATAATAATAATAATAATAATAATAATAATACCTAGAAAAACACTCAGAGAGTACAACCTTTGGCAAGACCAGTAACTAACTAATATTTAACAATTACTTACTCACAATTTCAATTTGGCCTATGTCTTAATATCTGTCTGGATTTCAATGATATAGTGGACATACCTGTACAGTCTGTACAATGTACATTCTTTGTTATCAGGCTTGTGTGGTTGTCAGGTTTAAAAATAGACCTGACCTATTTAATAAGCCAGTGCTCGCCTTTGACAGAGCAGCTGGACTAAAGTCGAATAATACACCAGTCAAGGTCGGTAAGTATAATGTTGTATATGCTTTACAGCTGGTGTGGCAAGGATGGTAGTCCGCTAAGGACCGTAGTTCGTTCCATTTTACTTTATACAGGTGACATTCGTCCCATATACTTAACTCCATACCCAGACTTACCCTTACCTGTACGAATCCCATGGGGCCACCATTTCTGTCACACCATCAAATTTTAAGTCTGCTAGTACAAACTGTTGCCTTTAAGGTCGATCTCAAGATGTTAGATTTTGCCCACATCGTCAATATTTCCACCTAGTCAGGTCATCAGGCGTGAAATGATATGAGAGGCTTGGGACAGCAACATGTTGCATCAGACTCGTAGCTGGGGATAGAGGAAGGGGATAATAAAAGAAACGCCATTTTGGCCAGAAAAGAACAGAAAAGTCGGCCATCTACTAAAGACGAATAACAGGCAAGTGCGTAGGCAGGGGGGGGGGGGGAGATAGAGAGAAAACCACCCCTTTGACCGAAAAAGGTGACTGACTAGAAATTCGATGATCTAGATTCTATGACATTTTTCAGGTTAGGTCAGCTATAGAGGCGCAGTCGAAAGCTAGGGGTTAAACAGCCCACCCTCAAAATATTGCTGAATATGTTAACTTTACCTGGCCTGGAATAGGAACAATATCGCATTTAGCCTGTATTGGCGGTATTGGGGATGAGGTGGTGGTGGTTTGGGGGGGTGGGGGGAGGTTATTATTCAGAAAAATTAAGTGAGAGGATGAGGCTATTTTCCTTAGCCTTCCCATTTGCTTGGGGTTGAAGTGTTGGCCTAAACCTTTACATGTTGCTGTTGAAACCGCCTCTCTGCACGTATGTTAACTTTACCTGGCTTGTTGGCGTTTTAAAAAAAAACCGTACTGCAGGATGTGAATAACGTGAATGCATTTGTTAGTCTTTTACAGATGAATGGACTAATGGATATTTCTCAAACCACTTCAGTGCTGCTGGTGTTCATAATCACATTCCTCGTGGTGTGGTTATGGAGACGACGTGAAAAGGTAGGATGAATACTTAACAAGTTCAACCAGAGAGAGAGAGAGAGAGAGAGAGAGATCGAAGTTGGATATATATGAATAACTTAGTTTGGTTAAATATCCAGTGGAGGATTGAGGTCATCTTTTCGGTCTTCTGGAAGACGGTCCGAATTTTTCAAGTTGACATAAACAGGCATCTGTCAGAAGATGGTCAAAAATTAAGGATGGATGAAAAGATAATTGAGAAAACTGTCAGAAAATATTTCTGGATCCACCCCTGAATATTACTCTCACTTTTTCTTTGTTTATAACACGTACTCATATCTTTTGAAAAGGATATTATACATAATTCGCTAGAAAAATGTTCACTTTACAGGGGTCACTAAAGAGCAGTCTAAAGCAGGTTATTATTATTATTATTATTATTATTTTGGTTATGCCTGTGTGAGTGTCTGCCTGTCTCTGTCTGTTAGCAACAGTTTGCGAAAAAAGTCGAGGTCGGATTTTGATAAAACTTTCATAAAATATTGCGAGGATCACAAACAACAACTATTCTCGTGATTCATTTATCAATAAATTGAATAAATATCGTCTGAAGTTCTGTTATCAATCTGTGTTCGAACTTCGATTAAATTTTTAGGATAGATCAAAATGGGCTATATTCTGGTGGTGTTCCATTTTAAAAAGATTTAGTTAGTAAATGCATACTCTATAATTGATAAGTAAGAAATAATAAATAGAATTCATCTTATTTATTATTTAATTGAACATTCATCACAAATAATGTGCATTGAGTAAATGAATCAATTCATGAGCTACTAGTAGGTATTTAATGAGAATTTATAATAGTGAGAATAAAAATGCCTACTTGGAGCTCTCTCTCTCTCTCTCTCTCTCTCTCTCTTATTATTTATTCATTTATTTATTTCAAGCCTAAAGGAAACCTGCCACGTAAGGAGTTCTGGTTCCCCTTCAGTGAACTCTTAGTTAGCTTCGTAGACTCGGATAAGTTGTTTAAAGATCTGGGCAAGAAGAGACCCATGGCAAGGTTCCGCAATGGATTTGATGGCCCCGATGATTTTATCCTGACCACCCACAAGGCCATCCATGAAGCTTTCATCAAGAAGGGGCATTTATTCACTGACAGACCTACCAAGTTTATTTGGACCGAGTGGTCTACGCAAAATGGTGAGTTAAATTTCTAGAATCCAAAGCTTTTGGAGAAATAAATTTGTCAAGCTTTAATCAGTAATTAGGGTAGTCTATTGATTCGATAATGACAACCGTGTGCAGTGAGTTATAAACGATAATTAGCAGTTTCAGAAGGCGTGACAGACATCTAAGCCTCTTAAGTTGATTGCAGTTCAGCGAGAATCCCCTCGGAGATAGATCGATTCACAGTTTGTACGATATGGTCAGGGAATGGTCCCTTAGACCCAAAACATGGATAGAAAGTCAAAGGTGTGGTTGCTCTGTAACATTTGTTTTCTGATTCAGTCCTCAACAAGCGTATTTATCATGTGATGTATGTAAAAAATAAGTGGATTCTCTGTCAAACTGTCTATCCTATCTGACACAGGTATGGTCCACGGCTTATTAAACTCCTGGGGTGATCTGTGGAAACAACAGCGGAGATATGCCCTGATGACTTTACGTGACTTTGGACTGGGGAAGACCTCCATCGCGGAGGCGATCCAAGAAGAGATAGGATATCTTGTTGACGAGTTCCAGAAATTTGAAGGCAAGGCCGTAGATCCGCAGCAGCTTTTGATGCCTGCCATATCCAATGTAACAAACTTCCTACTGTTTGGAGAAAGGTGAGATTCACAAACCACACCCGGATCTGCATTGGTTTAAACCTTTCTACTTTCCAAAGATGAGACTATTGATATGGACCATTGGTCGATCATCGTGTCGCGCAAATCCAGTTGATAACCCCTTCTTCTCCAGCTACCCCCCTTAAATGATCCAAATGGGCAGAAAATAACTGCAAATTATAAAAAAATAATTATTCACATTTGGGTCACAGAAAATGATATTCCCCACCAAGATTGGGAATTTATTTTAGGAATTACTAGTCAAGACAATAACATAAAAAAGTAGCTGAGATAACTGTTTCATGCCATCTGCCTTTGTGGGATATGGAAGTTTTGTTTAAGTATATCTACAATGCGCTTAACTGTATCAAATTAGTTAAGTCATTTTAATTCTAACCACTACTGAGAAATTATTTATAGTGCATATCATTGTATATATATATATATATATATATATATATATATATATTTTTTTTTTTTTCGATTTTCAGGTTTCAATATGATGATCCAAAGTTCCAGCAGATTATGAAGAATTTGATGGGACAATTCCAGTACTTCTTGTATGAAGTATCATTTTATTATAATTATTAATGATGGTCAGTTAATTAAATTTTAGATGATCTGTTTTCCAGAACATTAGTTCAGTTGTTCTTGGTGAGATTCTGGACGATAGCAAATATAATCTGGTGGCATCATGTCGTCTTTCTTCCTTTAAAATAGGATGTGACTTGGATTACGCCCTACTCACAATTACAAGCAAACATTTGTATTGAATTTATTACATCACAGGAAAAGATGGAAAAAAATCTTAAGTAATCAAGAGTGTTGTTAATCTAAAATCAAACGAGGTTTTGCCAAATTGGAGGAGAGTGGGTCAGAAATAATGGTATGAAATGGCGGAAGCAGTATGGCAACGAATAAAAGTTGACAGAATTTACCCGCGCACGGGAATTTGCCATCTTTTTTATGTAAATTATAAAAAAATTACAGATTTCACCATTTCTAGGTGTTGGATTTGTATTGCTTTTAAAGACGACATAACCCGTGCCTAAGTGTTTTTTTATTTTATTTTATTTTATTTTTTTGCAATTTGTGCTTAATTGTTTATCAGATTGGTCAGGGTCTCACGCATTTTCGAGTCTCGCATGACGTGAAGTACTGCCGGATACCTCGTTTTGGGCTATCTTGGGCGGTTTCCATGAGTTGTGCGAGCATTCATCATATTTGACAGAATTCTTTTGCTACATTTCAGGCTGGCACAAAATGCTGTTGTGTATCCATTTTTAAGATATATCCCTGGAGATCCATTTAAATTTCACTACACTTTTAAATGCATGGGAACTACACGAAAATTCCTCGAAGAGAGAATCGAGAGACATGTGGCAGAATACGACCCGGACAACATAAAATGCTTCACAGATGCCTACATCAAGGCTATAAAGGGTGAAAAAGACAAAGAGGGAACCTATTTCACAGGTAAAAAAAAACAGGAGGGGGATAATAATAAAAATAGATAATAATAGTGTTTTGATATCTTCTTTTCCTTTGACACACTACTTGAAAAGTACAAATTGCGAGAATAGAGGCCTCGCCCTGGCTCCATTATGCTTTCCCTATATTCAAGGGAATATTTATGTTTCGGGGAGCGTTTATTCTAAAATTGCGCGTATTTATTCTCCGCTTTCGATAAACATCATATTTTCTCAACTTTTTGGACACAAAAAACTTTTGAAATCCAATCTTTTTCTTCTGATTTAAAATCTTTTGATAAAATACTCAATATATATATATATATATATATATATATATATATATATATATATAAAATTTTGTCTAAATGCTTTTATATGATTTATTACAGACTTTCAACTGTTGACGTCAGTTGAAGAGTTGTTTTTTGCTGGCACTGACACCACAGTGACCACTCTCAGATGGGGACTGCTCTTATTGATTCTGAATCCAGACGTGCAGAAAAAGGTTAAACTAGTTAAAATTATACGAGATTTTTAAATCAAATGTACATTTTCTCGTGAAAAAATTAAAATTGTACATGCCCTACTGATGAATCATTGTCCATCCCTCCCTGTGCTTGGCTGTGACGTTTTGCAACATTTTTTTTTAAATTAAATTACTAAGTATTAATAAGACATTCATTTAATGATGTTCCAGAAAGAAATGATGACATCAGTTACTTTTGATTGATTGGTTTTATTTCTTAATGTCTGAATTGCGAAATGTCAGAAGTTTTGCTCGGACTTCAGACATAGAAATACATGTGTATGACTTTGGGGCATTTCCGATACTATAAAAAAATACAACATTGCTTTTACGAATTACTTCTAATTTGATGGGCTTCCTCTTGAACGCAGTCCATTTAGTTTCACTATTATTTAACCTTTTCTTCTGAAGGTTCACGATGAACTTGACAGTGTGATAGGTTCCCGCCGTGTCTCCATGGAGGACCGTGCCTCCTTGCCCTATACGGAGGCCACACTGCTGGAAATACAGCGCTTTGGGTGCATCGTTCCTGTTGCAGGACACAAAAACACGGAGGATGTGGAGATTTCGGTATGGAAACATTGTGAATAGCCACAGAATATATATATATATATATATATATATATATATGAAATGAAATGTTATTTTCCCTAAAAACTTTGCCTAAAAGCTTATATATGTATTATTTTGAGAAAAAATATTTTAATTGTTGAACAAAAATGTTCATTAGCTTAGTACTTGGATCATAAATGAAAATTCTCAAACACAAGCCGTTACCGTTTTCATACCGTTAGCTGACATTTACAAGAAGGTACCACCCAACAGTCAGTGACTGTCAACATCTACTCACATCAGTCTGATGAAAGCCTTCGCCAAGGTTGGCCGTAAGCTAACGGTATGAAAATATTTCGGCTTGTGTTTTAGAATTTTCATTTATTTTAATTGTTATTGTCACCTGTTCATTGTCACCAATTCCTCTTTCTCAGGGCTATACCATCCCCGCAGGTTCCACCGTAGCTGCAGGTTTTATATGTGTCTTTTTTGATGAGGAGTTTTGGACCAAACCAGAACAGTTTGACCCNTATATATATATATATATATATATATATATATATATATATATGAAATGAAATGTTATTTTCCCTAAAAACTTTGCCTAAAAGCTTATATATGTATTATTTTGAGAAAAAATATTTTAATTGTTGAACAAAAATGTTCATTAGCTTAGTACTTGGATCATAAATGAAAATTCTCAAACACAAGCCGTTACCGTTTTCATACCGTTAGCTGACATTTACGAGAAGGTACCACCCAACAGTCAGTGACTGTCAACATCTACTCACATCAGTCTGATGAAAGCCTTCGCCAAGGTTGGCCGTAAGCTAACGGTATGAAAATATTTCGTCTTGTGTTTTAGAATTTTCATTTATTTTAATTGTTATTGTCACCTGTTCATTGTCACCAATTCCTCTTTCTCAGGGCTATACCATCCCCGCAGGTTCCACCGTAGCTGCAGGTTTTATATGTGTCTTTTTTGATGAGGAGTTTTGGACCAAACCAGAACAGTTTGACCCAGCAAGGTTTTTGGACGAAAGTGGAAAGTTGGGGAAAATCCCAGATTGCTTGACACCATTCTCTCTTGGTAGGTGCTTCATTTGATTCAGTATCTTTCAAACAATAAATGGTCCGCACGAAACATCCCTGTGTACATGTAAGTAAGCTCAGTCACAACTTAGATTTCTCTGCGTATGGCCGATTCTTGTTGTCGAATCTGAAACACAGGTTCTCACATCCTGATGACTAAATTGACCTATGCAAGACATCGTGTTCAGCAACCGGTGCACGTGCTGGTGAAACAGGAATTGAAGTCTTCTAAGAACCGTAGCCCGCTACCCATTGCTTTGTACAGGTGGCATCCGTCCTATATACTAACCCCAGTACTCCAACAAACCCTTACTTGTACTTATCATATTGAAGCCCTGACTTCCATCCCTAGGACTTTTATTCCGGCCTAATAAATTGTTCGCTCAATAAGGCTTTCCCTACACAATCATTTTTCCTTGGTATTAACAACGGTTATCGTTCCGAATTTTGTATACACTTAAAGAATTTTTGCGGGACAGAATGAACACCGTTTTGGATTTATAATGGAAATTCCCTAAAGTCCCTTCCATTTTATCCTAACCAATTTTCATCTTGCCGCCGTCATAATTCTTTTCTTTATTTTTATAAAAATTAAATTTTTCATTTATGACGCACAGCAACTTTTAACGACTGTCTTGTTATATGTATATTTACTTTTCATGTTCTGTTTAAGTTTTATCCCTTTTCTTTACAGGCCGCCGTGTTTGCCTCGGGGAGTCCCTTGCAAAGATGGAACTGTTTCTGTTCTTCACCAACTTGCTTCAGCAATTCTCGTTTACAATACCCTCTGGGGAAGAGAGCCCTAGCCTCAAGTCCCGGTGGTCCCTCGTGCGGTCTCCACTTCCTTTCAAGGTCGAAGTGCACAGGAGGCGATGATGTGCGGGAACTTGCCAGTGCTCTTAAAGGAACAAAAACAAAACCATAATCATAAGCTACACAGTAATGAAGTTATAACTATGGTAAAGCTTTATGATTGGCATCACTTCATTTTATCAACTGATGTTAATTTGAAAAAAAAATCTTGATAGATGTTTTGAATTCATATAACAGGGTCATAGGCTGTGACTATGGTTTGGGCCAAGTGCTGAAGGCCTACAATATATATATCTATGCAAATTTTGTACCGTATGTGATGCTGGTATAGATTGATGGGAAGTAAGAGACTTCTGCAGGACAAGAGAATGGAAAAAGCTCGCGCTTTGTTAAGATCACCAAATAATTTCTTTTTCACAATATGTGTGTGTGTGTGTTTTAATGTTTTTTTATACACGTCAACCTTGCCATCCATTTGAAGCAAAGCAACATTAACTTAATGTGTTTTTTTTTTTCAAAACCACATTGAAATAAAGCAAAAACCCCTCCTCCATGTTCTCCGAGTTAATTTAACGGGTTGATCCAGTCGTGGACATCCTGAATTTCTGAAGACAATAAAAACTCTGCTCTACTCTACTCTCGGCATGTCTCTGGCACAGTAGAGGTGAATTTCTGCTTTCCTCTGAAACCCGGAAGGGGTAGGGGGGGGCTAGATGGCCTTTTAGAGCAATGGGGGTGGGCCGGTGCACTTCCCTAACCACTTTTCAATATATATTTTACTACCGCCCTACTTTTATTCTGCCCCAGACCGTTCCACGTTTTTTTTTAATAAAGACAACAGGTCAACAAATCAAAGATGGGATTTTACACTGATGGCGAATTATTTCCAGTTAAACTAGAATTTAATGCCCTCAGAGAATGGAGACCTTCACCAAGGCAGTCCACTTTTCATTATTGTTAATAATTTATCGATTACTTAATCAATTAACTTAATTTTCACTATGACTAAAATTAATTAATTACCTCGATCCTCATTATCAATTTATCAATTGATGTTTGAAATTCGATGGTCCTTTGTAGGATTTATTAAAGTTTTTCTGGGTTCTGTTTTTCTTTTTGGGGGATCAACCCTGCATGTAGTAGTCCTAACTATGTGTTTAATTCACCAAAATCCTGCTGGTGGGTGGTACTCGGCACCTGGGGTTTGAAAAAGGGGTAAATTTCCTGGTCTGGCAGCAAAATATATTGTTCGTTTGTTAGCTTTGGGCGGTTCATACGGCAGCCTTGCTGTACCCTACCCATGGAGGCGAGAGCGTCAACACCCAGCCTTCCTCTTGGTATCACACATATTATGGTAGTAAAACCCCTTTTTTCCAACATATTGGGTTGTGTTTTATTGACTACGAGATTTAAAAATAGATCTGACCTACTTAATATCTCGATACTTTCCCTTGACAAGGCAGCTGGACTAAAAACGAATAACAGACGAGACATCGACGGCAGGTCGGTATAAAAACAATGTTTTATATGCTTTGCAGCCGGCTTAAGATGCAACATGAACTGGGGCATATATATAGGGTACAGAGTTATGTCTAGTCCACGGCCTTTAAATTTTACAAGACAGCTAGTACAAAATGTAGCCGCCAAGGTCGATTTCAAGATGTCGGAGATTTTGCCCACATCGTCAGTATTCCTTCCGAGTCAGGTCATCGGGGGTGAACTGATAATGCCGGGTGCAGCTTCATGCTGCAATAGTCCACCAAACGCCAGGCGCGTATAGCAGACTTACAGCTGGGGAGGGTAGGAGGGATGAAGCGCCCATCTGGCTTGAAAAGGACTTAAATCTCGACCATCTAGTCTATTAGGCGCTTAGGAAGCGAACAGCAAAGCCCGAGCACTGACTGAATAGATATTCGATTATCTAGCTTCTATGCTATTTTTGAAGTTGGGTCAACTAATGGCGGTTCAATTGATCACTTCAGTCCTTGAATGGGAACAATTGGACGTAACCGTAATCACTGGTGTTGGGGGAGGGGGGATGGAGGTAGGCGTGAGGTTAACCATTAAGCGGTTTTCCTTACTCCCTTCCCAACCTCCACCCCATCGTGCTTAGGTTTAGACTGTAAGTGGCGCGGCTAACGGTTGCTTGTTGCTGTATTCTCTTTTTTCTTCCGTCTTCGTTTTCAAACTGAAACAGTCTGTCTGCACGTGTGTCAAAATTACCTGGCTTGTTAACGTTTTTTATAAAGCTGTACGATTTTAACAACGTGAATACATTTGCTATACCTTTTACAGATGATGGGACTAATGGATATCTCCCAAACCACCTCGGTGCTGGTGGTGTTCATCATCACGTTCTTCGTGGTGTGGTTATGGAGAAGAAGAGAGAAGGTAGGATGTTAACTGAATTCAAACAGTGAGAGAGAGATGTAGAGATCTACCAGTATTGGACATAGATTAATTATTAATTATTAATAATTATTTATTAATTATTAATAATTATTAATTTACTGCGAATGGATCACTAATGTGAAGGCTTCATTGGAAATATTCAGGATTTTGGCAATTTGATTTGCGTTCTTTCTTTATGCTTAAAGTTATGTACGGACTTGAAATGTTTAGGTTATGTCTAAATAAGCTAGAATTTGGTGNTATATATCTATGCAAATTTTGTACCGTATGTAATGCTGGTATAGATTGATGGGAAGTAAGAGACTTCTGCAGGACCAAGAGAATGGAAAAAGCTCGCGCTTTGTTAAGATCACCAAATAATTTCTTTTTCACAATATGTGTGTGTGTGTTTTAATGTTTTTTTTATACACGTCAACCTTGCCATCCATTTGAAGCAAAGCAACATTAATTCAATGTATGTTTTTTCAAAACCACATTGAAATAAAGCAAAAACCCCTCCTCCATGTTCTCCGAGTTTATTTAACGGGTTAATCCAGTCGTGGACATCCTGAATTTCTGAAGACAATAAAAACTTTGCTCTACTCTCGGCATGTCTCTGGCACAGAAGAGGTGAATTTCTGCTTTCCTCTGAAACCCAGAAGGGGTGGGGGGTGGGGGGGTGGGGGGCTAGATGGCCTTTTAGAGCAATGGGGGGTGGGCCGGGACACTTCCCTAACCACTTTTCAATATATCTTTTACTACCGCCCTACTTTTATTCTGCCCCAGACCGTTCCACGTTTTTTTAAATAAAAAACAACAGATCAGCAAATCAACGATGGGATTTTACACTGATGGTGAATTATTTCCAGTTAAACTAGAATTTAATGCCCTCAGAGAATGGAGACCTTCACCAAGGCAGTCCACTTTTCATTATTGTTAATAATTTATCGATTACTTAATCAATTAACTTAATTTTCTCTATGACAAAAATTAATTAATTACCTCAATCCTCATTATCAATTTATCAATTGATGTTTGAAATTCGATGGTCCTTTGTAGGATTTATTAAAGTTTTTCTGGGTTCTGTTTTTCTTTTTGGGGGATCAACCCTGCATGTAGTAGTCCTAACTATGTGTTTAATTCACCAAAATCCTGCTGGTGGGTGGCCTCCACAGACTTCTCCACGCTTGACGATTTTGTGCCACTCGTGTCCAGATATGTTTTTGATATCCTGAAAATATTCTTAATTGTTAGAGGTGGAAATGACATTGAAGAATTTAAATGATTTGGTGAATGGGTTTATAGGTGTGATGAGGGCAATTTTCTATTAGATGTTGTAAAGCTTTTATTGCCCTGGGCTGCTGGATGGCCTTGTGGTCAGTGTCTCCGCCTCCGGAGCGGGAGGACGTACGTAGGTTCGACCCCTTAGGCCACACTTTTTTATTTTTATGGATGACATCCTGCGCGCGCACCGATTTTCGTCCGTTCTCCCAAAAAAAAAAAA